CCACATCCTCTTCTGAATCCAGCTTGAACCTCTGGAAGTTCTCTGTCAATGTATGCTTGCAGCCATTTCTGTATTACCTTTAGTAAAACTTTACCCGAATTGGATATCAAAGACATTGTCCAATGATTTCCACATTAAGTTTGGTTACCTCTCTTTGGAATGGGCACAAATATGTATCTCTTCCAATCAGTTGGCCAGATGGTTGTCTTCCAAATTTCTTGGCATAGATAAATGAGTGCCCCTGGTACCGCCACACTTTCTTAAAAGATTTCAATTTTGATCCCATCAATTCCTGGTGCCTTGTTTTTTGCCAATTCCTTCAATCCACCTTGAATTTCTTCCTTCAGTATCATTGGCTCTTGATCATATGCTACCTCTTGAACATTAACCATTTCCTTTTGGTACAACGACTCTGTATATTCCTTTCCTCTTCTTTTGATGCTTTCTGCATCATTCAATAACTTGCCCAGATAATCCTTCAATAACGAAAGTCGAGGCTTGAATGATTACCTGTGCTTCATTGACTACGCAAAGGCTTTAGATTGTGTGGATCACGACAAGCTATGGACAACATTGTGATGTATCAGTATTCTGGAACACTTAATTGTGCTCATGAGAAATTTGTGCATGGACCAAGAGACTGTTGTTCATACGGAACATGGGAACATTGAATGGTTTAAAATTAAGAAAGGTGTGTGACAAGGTTGTATTCTTTCACCATACTTATTTAACCTGTATGCTGAGCAAATCATCTGAGAAGCTGGGTTCTATGAAGAAAAACGTGGCATCAGGATTGGAGGAAGACTCATTAATAACCTGTGATACGGAGATGATACCAACTTGCTTGCTAAAAGTGAAGAGGACTTAAAGCATTTACTGATGAATATCAAAGAGCATAGCCTTCACTATAGATTACATCTCAATGTAAAGAAAACAAAATCCTCACCACTGGATCAATAAACAACATCCTTATCAACGGAGAAAAGATTGAAGTTGTCAAGGACTTCATTCTTCTTGATCAACTATCAACAATCATGGAAACAGCAGTCAATAAATCAAACAACGCATTGCATTAGGCAAATCTGTTGCACAAGACCTCTTTAAAGTGCTGAAGAGCAAAGATGTCAGCTTGAGGACTAAGGTGCGCCTGACCCAAGCCATGGTATTTTCAATAACCTCATATGCATGTGTAATCTGGACAATGAATAAGGGAAAAGAATTGATGCTTTTAAGTTATGGTGTTGGAGGAGAATATTGAAAGTGCCATGGGCTGCCAAAAGAACCAACAGATCTGTGTTG